GTCCTGGATCTGTTACCTATATATGTGTATCTCTGTGTGTCTGTTTATGTCTGTCTACCTGAGTGTCTGTCTTTCTGTCTTCCTGTGTGCCCTGTCTTTATGTCTACCTGTGTGTCTTTGTCTACCTGTGTCTGTCTACCTGTGTGTGTCTTTCTCTTACCTGTGTGTCCTTCTACTTGTGTGTGTCTATGTCTACCTGTCTGTCTTTCTGTCTACCTGTGTGTCTGTCTACCTGTGTGTGTCTGTCTACCTGTGTGTCTGTTTACCTGTGTGTCTGTCTACCTGAGTATCTGTCTACCTGTGTTTTTTTGTCTTTCTGCTGCTTGTCTGTCTCAGAGCCACTCATTAAGAGTGCAATTGGTCTTGAAGATGCCATATTAATAATGATAATAACACAATAATAATCACTGAGGCGCATTAAATGTGTATAAAACGTTGATATAGACATTTTACTTAATCCATCTATGATTTCTTTTTCAAAATTATATAATAAACATGCTACATAACATATAAACATATAAATTAACAAATATGACATGTTTTTCTGGTCGGCTTGACAGAGTGAACAGGAACCATTCGTGTCCAGGCTGGTAAAAACAACAACAACAATGTTTGTTTACATAACTCACCAACCTTCTACACACACATTCATTTATTCATTTAATCTTGTTTACTCACCTCTCACTCTACATTAAGACTACAGATATTTTAAGGTAAGTAATGAGTGGAGACGATTATTATATTATAGTTTAATAATAACCTAGGTAGTAGGTTGGTAAACAGCAACCGCCCAGGGAGGTACTACCGTCCTGCCAAGTGAGTGTACAACGAAAACCTGTAATTGTTTTACATGATGGTAGGATTGCTGGTGTCTTTTGTCTCATAAACATGCAAGATTTCAGGTATGTCTTGCTACTTCTACTTGCACTTAGGTCACAATACACATACATGTACAAGCATATATATACACACCCCTCTGGGTATTCTTCTATTTTCTTTCTAGTTCTTGTTCTTGTTTATTTCCTCTTACCTCCATGGGGAAGTGGAACAAAATTCTTCCTCCGTAAGCCATGCGTGTTGTAAGAGGCGACTAAAATGCCGGGAGCAAGGGGCTAGTAACCCCTTCTCCCATATAAATTACTAAATTTAAAAGAGAAACTTTCGTTTTTCTTTTTGGGCCACCCTGCCTTGGTGGGATATGGCCGGTGTGTTGAAAGAAAGAATAATAATAATATTAATATTAGTACATATGTATTATTGTAATAATAATAATTATTATTATTAATATTATTATTAATTTAGGGCACTGGAGCACAGATCTACTGTATAGCACTTTGTCTGGATTATTTGGGTTATCCTAGGTAATTTATACTATGTATGATAACTTTACTTACATGTACCTGTGAGAGAGAGAGGGAGAGATACAGAGAGAGAGAGGGAGAGATACAAGAGAGAGGATATAGAGAAAGAGATACAGAGAGAGAGAGAGAGAGAGAGAGAGAGAGAGAGAGAGAGAGAGAGAGAGAGAGAGAGAGCCACATTCAGTCAGCCAATCACCCACCCAGCCCCCCCACCCACCCACCGCCAGCCCGCCAGCCAGCCAGCCCGCTAGCCAGCCAGCTACGTATTCACATGTTCAGAGTTTTTTCTCTTATTTTGGGTATAGGTTTTACTACATTTGGAGGATGACACTCCCAGTGGTATTTCCCAAATTCCCTTTTTCCCAAAAATACATAAAGATAACGGAAACATTGTTACTGTTTTCGATGAAAAAATTTAAAATTTCAGTTCACTACCATGTATGAAATTATATACAGAAAAATAAATAATTAAAATATAAAAAATAAAAGGGTAAATTAGGTAAAAAGAATAAAATAATGTTTGTATATTACATTACAGTATTGAAAGGTAGTTTATATGGAAAGTTTTGACATTAGGCCCTACCCAATAGTCGGAAATTTTTCAAAGGTTCAAACTTAGGGCCTTTTTTCACTTACGACGCCCGGGTTGGTGGGAAAACAAGTTTGGTCGTAAGTCAGAGGAAAAGGTTATATATATATAATATTAAATATATATATATATATTTAAATATATATTTTTAATATATATATTTATATATATAAAATATATATTTTTTGTTTTTTTTGGTTGTCCCTTATTACTTTGATATTTTGGTTTCCACTAAATGTTCTAGGGGTGGGGGGGTTTTTTATTTTAATGGTCTTAAATTTGCCCAAAGGGGTAATACTTACATCATGGCTGTTTCACCCTAAATGCCCTCTGATACCCTTTCACCACCCTCTTCCCCGGGTTTTATGAAACTATACTATAAAAATATAATTTGTTTTCCCTCAATAGAAAAGAAAAGAATATACAATTACACCCTCACATTTTCAAAACAACAAACTACAAAACTGCATAGCTTTCCCCCACAGGGAATATCTCAAAAAAATTTAGTCCTCTTTTTCCCACCTTTAAATTTAAACTCGGGGCAAACCCCCGTGTTTTAAACACACTTTATCACCCTGGATATGGGGGTCACAATTTAAAATTTTATAAAAAAAAACTCCCCCCGGGAAAGCACCAAAAAACCCCCCCCAAAAAGAAGAAGGAGGACCCAGAGATCCTGCCAGGTTGAAGGGCCCACCACAGAGAGCCCGAGTCAGTCCGGGGGAAGAGAGAGAAAGAGGCTAAGCCCTCCCACCAAAACAAAAGACTTTTTGCCAAGCAAAATTTTTTTTCATTTTCCACAATTCTACCACCCCTTTAAATTTTTAAACTTTACAAAAGGAAATACAACTTTAAAAAACTACTTTTTTAAAAATTTGTTTTTTTAAAGTGTTATATTTATAACCTTTTATATTG